TCCCGAGTTTTGACCCACTATAAATAGATTTATTGGGGTTTTGTGGGGGCATCTTGTCTGGTTTTTGAGCTACATTCCAAGTATTTAATATTCCTCTCTTTTGGAAGCTTTTGAGTGAAGAATCTTGCACTTTGTAAGCTTTATAGCATTTAATATTCTCATATTTTTGTATTTTAGCACGTGTAGCTAACTTTAAATACTAAGGTTGTGGACTCTAAATGGATGTTATGTTAATGGGTGTTTAACATTGAATATATGTATAATGGTTGGTTGATATATATTTATTTCTCATTCTTCATTTATTGTTGGTGGTTGCAAACATTAACAAGTGCCATTAAATTCATTCTTTACTTGGAAAAGTGAGTTAGAATTTGGTAGAAGTAAATATCAAAGACTCAAGGCTTTAAACCTTGTTCAATAGAATCGCTTAGGAATAAGTGGGTTTTATTTGGCATATATTGATTGTTCTTAATTGCAACTCATTTATATTTGGAAAAATCACAAAGAGGAAATACTACCCAGCTATTGAAAAATATTGGGTAGTCATTTAGAAATCATTTGCATATCTAAAGAACCTTCCATTAGAAATATATCATATTAACACTGATAGCATTATATTCCATTGAAGGGGACACAACCTTTGTTTCCTTAATCAAATTATTTACATTCTCAACGTTATAATTAGTTATTTATTCAAATCATAATCATATCATACGCTTGTTACAATTAACCAAACAGAATTATGACTTAAGTCAAGTAACACACTACTCGAATGACCTTTTCGAGCCTATTCCCTGTGGGACTCGACTCCAACCTTGTTGGGTTATTATATTTGACACCGACCACCTACAAAAGGCTTGAAACTATTTTAGTATGTGATGACTTTGCGGTCCGCATATCGCCTATCCAATTGCAAAGTCGCCGTATTTTGTCATCTTCGTCAGGCCACCTAGGGTTTATTCTGCGACAACAATGTGGACTACAAATCGACTGTGCGGTCCGCAAAAGTTATCGTTCTCATATTTTGAACTCTACCCTCAACAATGGCGAACCTAGTTTCACTACCTAGCACCCCCAAACCTAACTACCTATCCAAGAACTCCCTCACATTACGAACAGATACCCACATACGAAGAGGAAAAAGGAACAAAAATTAAAGGAAACCAAAATAGGAAAAACACAACAAAATTTAAAATAACATTTACAAGGATGAAATCGGGAGATGAGAACATACCAGTGATAGGGAAATGAGAACACTTGGGAGATGAAATCAACATATGTTGTTTACTATTTTCAATTCAACTAACTGTTTTCCCTTCTCTTTTTTTCATTTTTTGTTTTGATTTCTTTCTGATAAAAAAATCTTTTCTTTTGTTTTGCAAGTGTTTGAATGCTGATGATATGCGAGGGTTACTTACTTGTGAGATTCGCGGTGGGTAAGTCACCGCATAACACATTATGCGACTGCATAATTTTTATGCGGTGGGTTCAACTTGAGTTGCTTGAGGACATAATGCGGTGCACTTGTGCGATCGCATACTTGAAATGCGGTCCGCAAAGTGCACCTCCTCACCGCATTTCAGCCACCAAATTTAGCCAAACAAACTGTCTGGTTTTGCAACCACAATGCGGTCTACATAGTTAAAATGTGACCACATCTGTGTAGCAAACTTTCCATGGTGACTTTTATTCCCTTTCACACGCAATTTTACCCAGTGTTATGATTTTTTTGAATCACCTGCACTTTAACACACACTTTAAATTGCTCAATTAAATCTATTTAACAAAAGTTAAAATTTAAATGAAAAAAAATGTTACCACACATGGGTTGCCTCCCATGAACCGTTTGATTTAACGTTGCGACACGACGTAGTTGGACTTTCTTTGGGTTCACTCATTTGTCGGGCACAGACCATCTTTGAGAGCCAACTATTCCACCAAATGTTTTTCTCCATCTGTGCCCAAGTAGTTCTTGACTCGCTGGCCATTTACTTTGAAGATTCGGAGCCCAAAAGGGGATACATTGACCACTTTGAACGGACCGGACCATTTCAATTTGAGCTTGCCCGGAAACAATTTGAGCCTTGAGTTGAAGAGAAAAACCAAGTCACCCGACTTGAACTCCCTTTTCAAGATCTTTTTGTCGTGGACGAACTTCATTCTTTCTTTGTACACATCTGTACTTTCATATGCATGGAAATGGAATTCCTCCATTTCATTGAGTTGTGTTAACCTCAAATTTGCAGCTTCAGCCCAGTCCAAGTTCAACTTCTTTAAAGCCCACATGGCTTCGTGCTCCAATTCGACGGGTAGATGACAAGCCTTGCTAAAGACGAATCGTTAAGGAGAAGTGCCAATAGGAGTTTTGTACGCCGTGCGGTATTCCCACAATACATTATCTAGCTTCTTTGACCAATCGGTCCTGTTTGCATTAACAGTCTTTGCTAGAATGTTCTTTATCTCCCGGTTGGAAACTTTAACTTGGCCACTTGATTGGAGATGATAAGGTGTGGCCACCGTATTCTTGACGCCATATTTCTCTAGTAGCCCCGTGAAAGCCTTGTTACAGAAATGATACCCACCATTACTAAGAATGGCTCTAGGAGTGCCAAATCGCGTGAAGATGTTATTATTTATGAATGCGGTCACATTCCTTGCCTCATTGTTTGGTAAAGCAATTGCTTCAACCCATTTGGATACATAGTCCACAGCCACCAAGATATATTTCATACCACACGAGCTTACAAAAGGGCCCATAAAATCAATTCCCTACACATCAAATATTTCTATCTCCATCACAAAGTGCATTGGCATTTCATGCCTCTTGGAGATGGATCCTTGCCTTTGGCATTGGTCGCAAGCCTTGACCATTTGATTGATATTATGATAAATCGACAGACAATAATAACCACATTAAAACATCTTTTCCACCGTTCGATTGCCCCCATGGTGACCCCAGAACAGTGAGTCGTGGCATGCCTTTAGAACTGGCATAATCTCCTCTTATGGAACACACCTTCGGATGATGTTATCAGCACAAACATGGAACAAGAATGGTTCTTCCCAATAGTATTGCCGACAATCTCTCAAAAACTTTTTCTTTTGATAGGATTCTGATCCATCCGGAATAAGGTCACTAACCAAGTAGTTAGAAATATCGGCATATCAAGGAGTAAAAGTGCTATATAATGCCAATATGTGTTCATTCGGGAAAGCATCGTTGATTTCAAGATCTCCCTTTGGTCTCCATGCCTCTTCAAGCCTTGATAAATGATCCACCACTTGATTTCCGTCCCTTTTCTATCTTTGACTTCAAAGTCAAACTATTGCAACAATAGGACCCACCGAATCAACCTAGTCTTTGCATCCTTCTTTGCCATAAGATAGCGAAGAGCAACATTATCTATGTACACTATCACCTTGGATCCCAATAAGTAAGCCCGAAATTTTTCAAAGGCATAGACAATGGAAAGAAGTTCTTGCTCAGTCACCGTATAATTCATTTGTGCTCCATTGAGTGTCTTGCTTACATAATAGACCGGGTGAAGAACCTTGTTGTGATGTTGGCCAAGCACTTCTCCAATAGCTACACCACTAGCAGGACCGGGAAAACACTGAAGGATATTGATATCACGCGCATTAATGATGCAGTAGATGTTGCTCCCCTAGAGTTTCAGACCCAGACTCCTACTGATATAGAGCCCTCAGATTCCCAGACTCTCGTGTCTCCTCAGGCTACTATTTCATCCACTTCCACTCCACAACCCACTTCTCAGGCAACCATTGCCCAGCCTTCTGCCATACTGCCAGCTGTTTCAAGGCTTGATCTCTTAGCTCAACATGTAAATGCTAAGGTAGACCAGCTTCTAAAGAACCTCCCCACCCTCATCAAGCAGTCATCGACTCTTATCCAGTCCTTAGTGACAACCCTCCAACAATGACAAACATCTCATGGGGATCACCTAAAGCAGATTGAGGTGTGGGTTGAAAAGATAGAGCGGGGTGAGGTTGGTGACTTGCCAAAGATCCGTGAAGATGTTGCCACAATGAAGACTGAGCTCCACAAAATTCAAACTCTGGAGTTCGATCTATCCTCCTTCATGCCTAAGGAAGGTGCGCAGGGAGCGGAAATGGTAGTGGCTGGATTGGATCTTGACTTCTCCACCTTGATGATAGACCCTGCATCTCAAACTATCGGGGCTTCCCAGCCTCCAGCTTCCCCTGAACGTATTGACATTCCTTCTGAGGAAGATTTCGGACACTCTGCAGAGTCCGAAGGTGGGGAGGCAGACGAGGGAGATACTGATGAGGAGTCATGGTCTGAGGAGGATGAGGACCCTCAGGAGAAGGGTAAGCAGATTGCTTCCCCTATAGTTGCAGAGGAGGAACAAACAGTTGTTCAGAAGGCAATTGAACATTTGCTAGCAGACATGGTCGCCCAAGCCATTCCATCGACCACTCAGCTATCAGCAGTCAAGGCTAGCAGCTCACAAGCCCCAGCTCCAGTGTCGGGCCAGCTAGAGATCCCTCCTCCATTAGTGCAGGTCACTCATTCGGCCAAGATCTCATCAGTCCCAGCTTAAGAATCAGAGGGTGACCCCACCATCATTCAGCCGGCTTCTGACTCCCGTAGTGCTTAGTGTGCCTCAGGGAGCCCCTAAACTCTATTTTACATTTTCTTGTATTGGTACAATTCATGCTTTTTAGTTGGGGGTGGGATAACATTGTACAAAATTTTGTGAACTAAACTATTGTACATGTTTTTGGGTCATATAAGTAAGCTTTCGTATATATTTGTGTTGTGATTCTGTATATATTTGTGTTTTGTGGTTTTAGTACATAGGTGATCTTTGTATAAAAAAAATAATAAAAAAAACAAAAACAAGTAGATAGTTGTATGTTCATCTTTAGTAATTAGTAATGAATCCCCCTTGGTTTTTCTTTGCCGGGTTCTTTTCCAAGGGTGTAATAGTAGAACCAGGGTAGCAGAATGAAACATTTTGACTGGTTTGGTGTAGTTGTCTAGATGCAAGCATGTGTGCCTGTAAATAGCCTATACCCTTGCATTAATACAAAAAAAAAGAAGAAATAAACTGTGTGAACTTGAGGCTCGCTCTTTGACTCTATGTCTACCTAGAGTTATACATGTAAATATGATGAAAGCTTCGAGTTGCCAAGTGTTGACTCGAGGGCTAAAACTATGTTGAGCCAAATAGTTTGTTTGCATGTGTGTGAGTCTTTGTAGAAATAATTCTTGTGTCTACTTCTGCCATCTAGAACTTGCCTGGTTGGTCTTTCGATGCCTATGATAATCACATTTGGTTGGAGAAATGACCTTAGGCAGTCTTTGTGATTTTGGAAAACCATTTAGCCTTTCAAGCTACCCATTATACAGATAGTATCACTAGTTATCCCACTTGAGCCTTTAACCTTTTCTTTGGCTACCTCATTACAAATCTTTCCCCTTTTGTAAAATAATTCCCTCTTTTGAACTCGTCCCTCCTTGAACATTGAGAATGAGGTTAAAAGCCTAAGTTGGGGGTGTGGTGTCAAGACGAAAATTGACAAGGTTGTATAGTGAGTGTAGGAAAGTATCCCTCAAGGTGTGAAACTACTCAAGCTCCAAAAGCAAAATAAAAAGAAAAAAACATATTTTGCAAGAGAAAATAAGAAAAAGAAAAGAAAAAGAGTTGTATGTATATATAAATATAGAGTCTTGAAGAGAATTAGAGAGGTATTGAAGGTGGCTCAATGTTGGGAAGTAGGAGCTAATGAGGGCTAGATGATTTGAAAAGAAGCAAAGAGCAACAAGAAAGAAAAATGTGAGTAGTGTTCAAGGAGGGTGTAGTCACTTGTACCCAAATGCTTATCTGACCCTTCCCTAAACCTACATTACAAACTTAAAAAGTCCTTATCAGATCTCCAACCGAACATTCTTAGAATAAAGCGATGAATGAAAATAAGGGCAAGCTTATGATATGGCATGTTATAACACCTGAAACTCTTTTTGAGAGTGAGTGTCTTTGTGAATCCGTCCCTTTTGTTTTCATTGTAAATATTGTGAGTGTGGGACTTTCTTTCTAGTGAGGGCACATGAATTGTGAGCTTGGACAGAAGTTGAGTTCTTGAAGTCGAATGCAATTGCACTCAGCTGAGAGTAACATTTTGTCAAATTGGTCAAGGCCCAAAGTTTCACAAGTTGATTAGTTTTCCTTGTAAATAACAATGATGGTTCAGGAAGGGTAAATAAACGAAATGGCACGCTCGTAGTACTGACAACTAACACTGTCCGCGGTCACTATTGTTTCATATCATTCAGATGGAGTCTAGAATAGGATAGTGTCATTTTGGTTGCTTGAGCACAAGCAAGAGTTTAAGTTGGGGGTGTTGATGTGCCGGAGAATTTCGGCACATTTAATACAAATTGCTTAGGTTTTAGCTTGTTTTAAATGCAATTATCTTCTATACTTATGTAATTTTAATATTTTTGCAGTGTATGAGGTTTAAGGGCCTAAGAACATGGAAATGAAATAAAAAGCCAAAAAAGGTCAAGAAAATAGCAAAATGTGATCGCATAGGTGAGGATGTGGGCGGCAAATCAAACATGCAGACCGCACAGTGCTCAAAGAAATCACAGAGTCCAACAATTTGCTGGCCAAAGTCAGGTGCAAGAAATGCGGTCCATTATGCGACCACATAACATGTTTGCGGGATGCACAATGGATCACAAACTCGTTATAGAAGTTGCTGAAGGCGGAAAATATGGTGCAAATTGCGATTGCAAATCAACAATGCGGACATCATAACCTAAAAGCGATGAATGCATGGAAACTAGGGTTTGAAGATGCGATGGACTTGAAGAGAATGCGGGGACCGCATGTCTGTTATGCAACAGATATGCAGTCGCATAATTAACCTGTAAGGGTGTTTTTGTCCGAAATTTGTCCCTAGTTTTGACACACTATAAATAGATTTATTGGGGTTTTGTGGGGGCATCTTGTCTGGTTTTTGAGCTACATTCCAAGTCATTTATATTCCTCTCTTTTGGAAGCTTTTGAGTGAAGAATCTTGCACTTTTAAGCTTTATGGAATTTAATATTCTAATCTTTTTTGTATTTTAGCATGTGTAGCTAACTTTAAATACTAAGGTTGTGGACCCTAAATGAGTGTTATGTTAATGGGTATTTAATATTTAATATATGTATAATGGTTGGTTGATATATATTTATTTCTCATTCTTCATTTATTGTTGTGGTTGCAAACATTAACAAGTGCCATTAAATTAT